CCAGCTTCATGAAGTTTGGCAAGTGCCGGCAGAAAATGTGGTCGCAACGCTTAAGAGAGCGAAGGTAGGGAAGCCCATGCAGTTGCTGCTTTTGGGGGGCCGAGAAAACCCCGAGCTAGACTGCCAGCGGGGGTGCGAGGCGGGGTCTGCCAGCAAATTCAAGTCCACCGGATCCAGATGGCACAAGTTCACCGGAAGGACCCTTGATGACCCGGTGGCCCACGATCGGAAGGTTCAATGTTCGAGTGGGGGGGGGTTGTGGCTATGCGAGAAGCACTGGAAAGCCTGAAAGCAGGCAGCATTGAGAAGACTCAAGCTTTCTGACGAAGCCTTGGGGCGTTTGGGCAATGGCATCAAAACAACTTCAGAGGTTGTGGCATGCAACTTACGTTCAGTGCTGCGAGCATCATAGGTTTCTCAACTATACATCTTGAGAAGGTGGCCTTCTAAGGTTGGAAAAGTTCCTCTCCACAAGCCATCGCTCACCAGAAAGATCTTGGAAACTGCCGACCCTTCGGGCGACCCGCGGTTTCTCGCGCGGGTTGAAGCCACCGGCTCCGGCTGTGGGGGGGGGTTGGAGGGCGGGTGTTGGGCACCACCAGCGCCCAACGCCCGGTTCCGTGGTGGAGCGGATGGTCTGGTGGACTGGACCTAAAATGACACATCCTCGTTGAGGGGAGGAATTCCGATGTGACCTTTCGATGAAGCGGAACAGAAATGGTCATTTTTCACATGTTTCGATGCACTAGTGATCAATGTTCCTCAAGAAGAGTAAATCAACCGAAGACGTGTGAGGTTGGGTCAATGTTTCTTGTGTGTGGCTGTTACATTTGCGAGTTTGTGAGCTCCCTATCATGTCCCAATGTTTTGGAACTTTGCTATATGGGATCATGATACTATGTGAGTCCCCAGCCTTGTTTGCCAGGGTTCAGCACATCCCGGCATACAACCCACTAAGCCATTCAGGATACGCTCAAACTTGGAAGACACCTCACCTGCGCTCCCGACCTGTGCTTTCGCCTCTGTTCGTCTTCAGAAGGCGACCTGAGCGAAAGCAGGAGCCAACGGGCGACCTGAGCGAACAACACGAAGCCTGCAGGGTCACAGATTGCAAAGCCACAGCCTGTTGGGTGGTGAAGTCACTTCCCCAGCTGCCAGGGTTGCGAAACAAAAGGCATGGTAGTTGGCATGAGATGGTTTCAAGAACTTAGGGACTGGCTGTGAGGATCACAGAAAATCTGGAGAAGTGCATCCTACAACCTTCGAGGGAGTGAAATTGGATGTTGCCTTTGAGTGAAATTATTGATCCAGACTTCCTTCTGCGCTGGCCCAAGCCAGATTTCACTCCCACCAAAGGAACTCCTTTTTGAAGCTCAGATTTTTAGAACCCACTTCAGCGTTTACACCAGGATCATTTGCCTTGAAAGCACCATTCTTCTGCTTAGCTTACCTTCCAGTCTTGTAAAGCACTAGTCTTAGCATCAACCCGCAGGGCCCGCAGGTTTGCTTTGCGCTCACAAGGACAATGAGGGAAACAGTGCCATCCGTGCGATTTTGCTCATGTCCTTTACTGTTTTTTGCTTTAGTTGAGTCAGGCGATGATGCTTCAAGAATTTGAAAGGCCTTTGATGACCCGTGTCGCAGCTTTCAATGGTCTTTTCAGAACCTCTGCTCCACACGGAAAACCCTGGAAAACCCCATCAACGTGCGATTTGCTAGATGTTCCCAAAGCGCTTTGCTCTGGCAAAACAAACTATATAATCACTTCGGCGATTTCGCTGCGATTGGACGGTGGTCACACGGCGAATTCTACAACCTGCAGCATCTTAGAAAGGTTGGGTCGATCTTTGATGCAAATGTGATCCCGACAGGACAGTTGGACCGGTCCAGGTTTCACTGGGTCTTTGGACCTGTTCTCGGATGTCTTGCGGGAGCGGAATCTGTAGAATTGACCTAGATGGTCTTGCATGATCCAACTGCTAAGGAGAAAGGTCTACAGAAACCATGGCATCCCCACGTGTTCGGAATCCAGCATCCAAGTGTGCGCCTTACGATCAAGCAGCGGTGGCTCCATCCTGACCGCTCCAGCTTGCTTGACGCACTAAGGAGTGCTTTAAAACACAGCCGAGCTGGCAAAACGTCCTCGGCCAACGAAATGACCTCCTTTGGTAGGGCTTCAAGTCTGACCGAGCTTGCCCAAGGTGGCCCGCTTTGCTCCTCTTTGTGGCGTCATGAACTGGTTGATCGTTTGCACTTTCACCGTTGCTTTCATGGGTGTCCAATGTCTGGCGAGGACCCGATCCACTCAGACGTTGGGCCGCCAGACCTACCTGTCGCCTCTTCCAATGTCTGTCTAATGCCTATCATTAGTCGATCGACTCTAGAAGACTCTAGAAGACTCTAGACGTTAACTCAGTCGTGGGGGGGGTACTCCAGCGACTGAACTCGCAAGGAATCAGCGCCGAAAATGGCCGGTTCATGGCCGGGCGACGCGGCACCCAGGTGGTCGTGTGACTGAACGCTGCCAGCTTCGGTTCATCCAAGCCTGCCAGGTGTGGAAGGGGTGTTCAGTGTTCTGATTCTCGGAGTCGGCTGACCACAAAGAAGCCAACCGACTCCGGCGAAGTCGCTGAGACAAGAGACATTGCCACCGCCGAAGAGGCCACTCAGTGGAAATCCAGCTCCGTGGAAATCAGCTACAAGTTGAGGTGGCTTGTTCAGAACATACCCAAGGCATATGGGGTAGACCAATATTCGTGAACATCTCTATGACATTCCAAAGGGGTCGAAGGTACTACCCTGCCATCACTGCCCGGCTCCAAGAGCTCCGATTGGACGACGTCACCTTGACGTCAAGTTCGTAAAGCACGTTCAGATGTCCCCACCCTCAGAACTGGAGCCGATGGGAAGAGTGGCATCGGGCATCGGCGGCATCGGACACTCCGTGTTCCCCTGGCGTGTTCGATGTCCGACCCCGACGAGGCGGTCGGGGCGGCCGGTTCAAGGGTGATCGATCCCGGTAAAAAGGCCATCTCTTCCTTTCCCTGTAGTGGGATCGCCCGAAAGTGGGCCCTCAGTGCCCACAGCTGTGGCTTCCACAGCTGCGAATCCGATTCCCAGGTGCGGTCACCCCTTCATCCACGTGAACCCAGTCTGTTCAGATTTCTTGCTGAAGCCGAGCGCTGCGCAGAAAGCCGTCACGGTCATCGCGTAGCAGAAAGCTCTCAAACGAAGAAGCTTCGTCCCGAAGACACGACTGAATCAAGTCAAGCTATGGTTGCTCCAACTCGTCTGGTGCTTCTCTCAATCACCGCGTGGTGCTTCTCGCGCTTCTCGCTGGCGTCGGGTCGTCCCCTCCTGAGATTGAGAAACAAATCACAGAGACTCACAAATTCACTCGCAGCATATGTGACCTTCGGATCCTTCGGTTCTACCCTGGGAAACCAACGGATGGCCCGTCCAAAAATGAGGATGGCGACCGCCATGCGGTGTCTCTGTGGTCCAAACTGAACCGTTCGATGGACTACGTTCTTTTTACCTAAAGAGATGGGGGGGAGCCACGAAGAGAATCTGAAAGGCGCTTCTTGGGAAAAATGGGAAAGGGCACACATCCCTGGACATCCAGTTGGCTCGTCTGAAACCAATTACCCCCAAGAATGAGACTCCTCAAAACGCAGGAGTACATGAGAAAGCCTTGAGGTTCAAAGACTACGTATGTTCTTGAAAATTAAAGGACCTTTGGGGTCGCGGGTCCCCAAGTCAGGTTGATCATGGTTGAACTGACGTTATTCTTCTCATCATAGTCTTTGACTCTCAGGGTAAAAACTTTCTAAAATCAGCACATGAAATCTATTGAAACCTCAGGCCTCTTCTTTCAATGCTCGATGCTTAAGCACCGCAATGCCAAATGAATCACAAGGCTATCACTGCAAGCCCCCTTCAGTGTCAGTCGGCGTGCCATGGCCCAAGCAAGGACAACAGCAAAAGAGCTAGCTACTGATCAATTCTTGTTATATACATCTACCAAGGCCAGTCCATTGTATTAGACCTTTCAGTTTAGAGTTTATTGTATATAAGGCTTCCGCTTTAATCTGGATTGTCTGCCATCACCAAACTTCTTGAAAGTTGATCTCATGTCCCTGTCCCAGCAAATGTGCCTCTGCTTTTCGAAGTCTCAAGGCCCCCCCGATGTCTGAGAGACGTCGTCTAAGCACTGCAGTCCACCTGGTGCTGAACTTTGCTATTCAGAACGGCTCGGCTGAACAACTCGCTCCGTCCAACTCGCCGCGTGTTTCTCCGGATTGGAGGGGGTGTTGCTCCTCGACAAGCATCCTGCGAATCCTCGTCTGAACTTGTTGCATTTCGGAGCAGGGTATGATGGCAGGGAAGGTTCATTGACTCAGAAGACTAGAAGAACTGCAACAAGAGAACACATCTCTGTCAAAACAATTGGAAGACATGAACATCACCAGGCAGTGGGTCAAACCTGGAGCTCCAACCTGGCAGATCAAAACCTTGCTGATCAATCTACTAATCTGTTCATTCTTGATGCCGGTCCACCTCACACAGCTATGAGGCAACAGCATGTTGTTTGGCAAACAACACCGTGTTACACCGATGGTCTTCTGGGCTTGTCCACAGCGGTCCTCCGGATGTGTCGGTCCTCTCTCTGAACTCGATTCTTTGGTGGTGTGAAAGGGGGAAGCTCCTCAAACACTGACCGAGTGAAAAAAGGGGGGGTCTTTCAGAGGCTCCTTCCCTTTGATTGAAAGAAACCTCGCTGAAAAGACGCAACTCACCAGTGAGCTTTGCCACATGTGCAGTGAAGCCCTTGGAGCTGCTTGCAAACGCGCCAGCTCACATCACATGGAAATGACACCAAAGAACATGCTCTACTATAAACAAATCTGTGATGTGCTTGGGAAAAGCACATGGAGACATGATTGAACGGAGTCGTTCAGCATGGATATTCAGCATAATTACCGTTGACTCTTGATTCATCAAGCCCCCAATGTGGTGCGGAGGGCGGGCTCTTTTGCGGCCAACAGAAACGCGCGGCTTAGGGACTGCGCGCAGCAGCATTTTCGCCTGGTTGGGAGGCACGAGATCCCACTTCGACTCACCAACAGGGAAAGGAAAGCCACCGATTTGTGCAGAAATATGAGGAACATGGTCTTTTTTGGGCTCGAAAGGTCGCCGTCTCGGCGGCCAACGCCGAGACGGGCGGTTGCCAAGACTAGCCAGCCTGCGGAGACCGGGAGGGGACTTGCGGAGACCGGGAGGGGACGTGAGTTGTTCAGCCCTTTAAAAAAGATTATACCAGCATAGACCCCAAACAGCTTCAATACGATTCATTCGGACCAAAATTGGTCAAAAACGATTTCTTGGTACGCCCTACCTTCCCCCCCAAAAGCAAACTGCTTCATCAAGGAACTTTTGTCGGCATCGACATCGCTAATTCTTCGGCCACAAGAGAAGACAAAAGAAGAGCAGGACAAGAGAAGACAAGAGGAGGACAAGACCCGGTCACAGAGCCCCACAGAGTTAAGGGGCGCGGCCAGTCAGTGTGTCCAGGGCTGGTCAGCGCGGCCAGAGGACAGGACAAGGACAAGAGGAGGACAAGACCCGCCCACAGGGCCACAGAGCCCGACAGAGTTCAGGGGCGCGGCCAAGATAAGGACAAGAGGAGGACAAGGCCCGGACACAGAGCCGGGGCGCAGAGCCCAGCCACAGAGTTCAGGGGTGCGGCCAGTGAGTGTGGCCAGCTCTTTTTTTCTAAGATAGAACCCCAACAGTAAACTGTTTGGGGAAAAAGTCATAAGTCATAAGCTGGAAAAAGGTGCTTCTCCGATGGGAACGGAACCAATGGAACCACGTTCACCTCCGAAGGGGTTCTGTTCCATGGATGCAACCACGTTCTTCGCTGCGAAGATCTGCGCAATCCGGATTTGGAGAGGTTCTTTCTCGCTGAAAAACCCGCTGCCAGCTGCCCACCGAAGAGGTGTATCAAGTCCGTCCGGACCAGATGTTTCTGATGATTTGTTCGTCCAGCGACGAAGGACTCTTCGACAACCCCACCGGTCAGTTCGACCTCATCTTGCTGGAGTTGGTCGTACCAAAAACAACTGTCAATGAGTCAATGAGGTTTTCAGGACCAAGTTGTACTGGAGCTGTCGGGTTCCCGAACTGCCCAGGACGGCGCCTTCGCCGTCGACGCCGTCGACCGCTGGACCGGCGGGCTCGGCACATCAAGGCCGTCGCCGTGCTATGGCACACCAGTTCCCGGTGTCGAAGTAGCCTCACTCCACATGCGGAGACCGGCGAGTCTATGCGGCGACCGGCCGCGGCCGGAAAAAGGCGAGAGACTCCACGTGGGGGGAAGAAAAAGGGTCCGGGTGCTTCTGGGCGGTGAAAATCTTGAAGCCTGGAAAGGTGAAGTTACTCTCTGTAGTCTCCAAGTTCTTACAAGACATCCATCCTCTGGTCCTTGAATCGGTCAGGTATCATCTTAGACCCTCTTCGCCAAGAGGGTCTAGAGCCCCGCGTCTCTCGCTGGCGGTGTCCACGGAGGTCCGTCCGATTTGGGGGAGCTCTTGGTTTCCAAGAGCCCAGTCATCAACCATTCAAGAAGGAAGATGACCTGCAAACATCAGGGTGTGCAACTCCACCATCAGGGCGTGCAAACATCAGCTTGCTCCAACATCAGGGTGTGCAACTCACCCTTGGGAGTGAGTTCACCCACCCCCTCCTCACACCCTTGTTCACCGAGTCTCCCAAATGAATCTCTGGGTCTTTGGGGGGGAAGACGGTCTGATTTTTTGGAGCCATAAGCTGACTGGAGCCAACGGAGGTCTCCCGAACCGATGGAGAACGAGGCTTCGAAGCCCTTCTCGGCTTTCTCTCGGGATGTCCAAGCTTAAGACCTCGCTGTTTTCAGTGAAGTCCTGCACCGGTGGTGCAGAGACACCGGTTGTGACCACATCAACGAATTGCTTTCTTTGCGAAGCACAAAAGCCAAATAGGGCCTATATAGCATTTTTCACCCTACTCCGCAAGATTCGAACATTGCTGCAAATGTCAAGGGGACCAATTTGTTGGTTGCGTTATGTTGTGTGTGTTTTCTGATTCCATACGGGATCCTACAAATACCTTTGGTCAGTTCACAAAAAAAGATTCAAAACCATTGGATGAAGACAACCCCATAGATACCAAGTCACAAGCTTCAGAAAAATTAGATGGCATGTGGCGACCACGACCACTGAATCTGGAACCCATTTTCTGGGCTCCGAGCCTCTCCCCGCCGCGACGGCTCTCTGGGCCCCCTGCTGTCGACCACTTCCAGTTGCGGGACCTCCTCCAACCTAGGCCCACAAGTGCGAGGTAGAAACGACTCTTTGGACAAGGGCGAGGTCGCTTTCGGACATAAACCCACAGACATACCACATACCAGCGAGCATCCTGTCTGGTTGGCTTCCGTCAGCCCATGGTAGATGATGGTAGGGCACTTGGTAGGGTAGTCTATTGGCTATTGGAAAACTGTTAGGTAAAGTCGCATGTTTTCTGCCTTTGAAAAGACTCATCGCAGTGGCCATGAAAAAGAACATGAAAAGAACTGTGGGTCCTGTCAGTGACGGTTTTTTCCCCTTTGGGAATCCTGGGCTTCCTGGCCCATTATTTTAAGAGGCTGAATCCCGAACCACCCTGGTTTTACGGATTTCTACGCTATCAAAACCAGGTCAATGTGTGTTTTCACGAGGATCCTTGATGCCTCTCACCCAAATGCGTCACTTGAGCTCACTCTGCTTCATCCTCACTCGTTCCCGCCCCTCGGTGGCCCTCACCGACCCGGTCCGCTCCCCCCCACGTCTTCGGCCCGCCCCCGAGCGAAAACGCAGCGTCCGAACGAGCCGCGCGAAGGTTCCCGTGCGGAAGGCGGAAGGCGAAGGCGAAGCGGAGCGCCCGGGAACTCGTAGCGTCCTCTTGTTCCTAATAGTGTGATTCTACCAGAGTTGGTCCGAGGGACAAGTCTTCCAGCTCGCCCTCCCTGTACACGTGGCAATATCTTTGGCCTCAGTTCGAAGCGATCGAAGGGGAGGTTCAAAAAAAGGAGCCTTCAAAGACCCTTGAAAAAATGGGAACTGGCTGGTTTGGAAGTGCAAAGACCCTTAGTAAAACAATGGTTGTTTGGGATTCAGGCTATAGAATCAATGGTGGGTCGAACTGCAATTCTCATCAGCAGTGATTCTCATTAGCACCTTTCCAAGGGGTCTTCAGGTGTCCTTGCCTTGCAATGGTTAGTTAAGTTTCCTCTCAGTCTGAGACCACACGCGCTTGTTCACCCATCTTATAAGCTTTTGGAGGTCGAAATCGACCCCTACACTGTTGGACACCTGCGCATCTCTAGGGTGCTTCCCCGCCTCTGCGGCTTTCTTCCACGTCGTCCGCCTGGGTGTCCGGACACACTGGGGGGCTGCTCTTCCCAGCGGTCTGACCGCTCTTCGTCTGTGCCGAGGGAGTGGTCGGAGGCGATCGGATGGTGGAGGTGGAGGAAGACCCGCTGCAATCAACATGATTTCGTACATGTCATGTATTTCATATATTTTTTTGAATGGCATTGGCCTCTCTATTATGCTGGCTCCACCCAACACTGCTTGCTAGGGAGGTGTGCAACATGTGTTTTGCAGGAATCCAATGTCGGATTCCATGTTCCTGTCAGGAAGCGGCAGCTCAACAGCTCAACAGGTGCAGTGCACTGACGTGCTGCACCCGACGTGCACAAAAAGAGAAAATCGCATGCGCGACCTGACCTGACCTGATCTGGCTGCTGTCATGGCACCTGGACACTGCTTTTCACCCGAAGATGAAGCAGAATAGACGAAGACATACTAAGACTGGACGCAGACATGGTGAAGACAGACCTGGAGGGGTGTCTTTTGGAGCTGGTCTGTCTCGCCCAAGAAGAAGCGGAAGATCCAGGAGGTAACCTGGAGACGTGAGCCCCATCGATGGTAGGGGAGGGTGATCAATGAACTAACATGGTTACGTGGATGGCACCCCCTGTTTGTAAAGGAAAGTAGTCTTCCAAGGCACCAGGTTCCCCTTCCATGTTAGTGAATCAGAGGGTAATACTAGTTACTAATTATTCGAAGTGCCGCAACCTGTGAAGACAACTGTACCGGATCTTCCTCCCACCCTGCCTGGCGCGGGCTCTGGTTGTTCCGAAGGCTTGCCCTCCCCGCGCGTGTTGACACGAAACATGCATGTCAGGAGCCGACATGATGACATGGTACTCAATCTGTCATGGATGACCCCGGCAAAGTCGCGGCCTTTCCACGCGGAATGTGCTGTTTCGTTGCATGGTATCGGCTTCAAGTTACGCAATATGGGGGTGTAAGGATACCCAAGCAAGAATATAGAAATGGCTTCCAAAACAGTTTCATTGCTTATCTACTTACTTCTACTTGGAGGAACGCACAAAAAAGATCTCTGGACACTATGGCGTTCACTGCCTCTTTTAAAACATGCGGAGGTCCAGCTACAAATTCAGGTCTCTTCTCCTCCAATCAGGTGACCCCACACTTTCTTCCAAGCCCGGCGCACCACCTCGGGCCTTTTCACCGCTCCCCCCTCCGCCCACGTCGCACCCCCTCGCACCGCTCACCTCTCCGACCGGCGTCCGCGCCTTTTTGAGGCCCGGCGTGCGGAAGCTCCAGGGCACCAGCACGTCCTCCGTTCCGCCGCACCGGTCGGACCGAGGGTGGTCGAGTTGGATCATGACGGACCGAGGATTTAGATTTTACTCATGTGATGTGGTGGTTTTCCCTGTGAAAAAGAGATGTTCCACAGCTTTCGCGGGGTTCACAAAAATATGTCTGTTCCACCAAGAAACGAATATCTCAAGTGTTCAGTGCCATGCTTTCCGGCCCTTCGGAAAGGCGACCGACTGGGTCTCGATCAGTGGTGCTGGGGCAGCCGGTTGCCCTCATATCCTGCAGTAGATAGAAGAAAAAAAACACGGTGAAGACGTTCTGATTGGGTTTTGGGTTCGTCCATGTTTGATCTACTGAAAATGGCTCTGGAATGCCTCAACCATCCACCTCGCCACTATTGTACCCCTGTTCGATGACTTCAAATGCCTCCATGTTGCCGGCATAGGTGACGATTCCATCAAAACACTATGTACACCCGGGAAAATTAACATGGAACATGAAAATGGACCTTTGGAAGACTACTTTCCTCTACAAACCAGTGGTTTTCAGGTTCCATGTGGGTCTCTTCCAGAGTGTATATACCTTCCAACATCATTGGATCTCCGCCGTTTCGTCAAGAGCTGCCGACACGATCCCCAACGCCCAACGCAGTTCACCAAAGACTTGAAACTCCAGCACGATCCCTGTGGATCACCGACTCTGGGACGGTGATGGACGGCGAGGTTCTTCACCAAGGACGTTGCAATTCCCGGCATGAGCCCCAAAGGCGGGTCAATGAATCCGAGGATGGTCAAGTTCGTCATCCTTGAAGGCATGATGTCCACTTGTGGCTCACTGAGTCTGGGATGGTCAAGTTCGCCAAATAGAAAAAAAAAGGCACGATCCCAAGTTCGCCAGAGAACTACAACCCTCGAAGGCAGAATTCCTGATGTCTATCACTGAGTTTGGGATGGTCAAGTCTGCCAGAGAGCTGCAATCCTGCAAGGTGCTAGTCCCCATGTGGGTCCCTGAGTGTGGAAGATCAAGTTGTCCAAAGAACTACAATCCTCGAAGGTGGGTCATTGAATTCGACATGGTCAAGTGCGTCAAGGAACTGCAATCCTTGAAGGCATGATGTCCACTTGTGGGTCACTGAGTCTGGAATGGTCAATTTGGCGACCATGGTGCAGCCGTGGAAGGCACCGTCAGCAACTGGAACTTTATGGTTCGGGATTTCAACAGCGAGGAAAAGATCCCAGGAGTGCATTGCGAAAGCTGGCAATTGCACCTTTGTTGGAGCATCTCGCAATAAGTGGTTTCATGACAACGTTCACAACAGTATCTGCGAGCCCTGCCTCTGCCTCGCGATTGCCAAGCAAACGGTCTCCAACAACAATCTCCACCGCAGTATTTGGCGAATCCCCTTGTCCCGGGTCAGCTGCCTTTCCTTAATCTGCCACTTAGTCGCTGTCTACCAGTCATCTCTGGCCTGACGGTCGAGACAAACACTCTCGCCATTGACCTGCAGTCCTGTTTCATGCTCATCGCTAGGAGGTCATTCGCAATCAGGTCGCGAACAGCCATGTTTGATTGTCTGCTCCAGTTCCTCGGCGTCCTAGTGTTGCCTTCTTACTTCATGACTTCATGCTGTTCGCATTGGGGATCGATGCCAATCAACAGGAATCACAGATCTGACCGGTCACTTCCAGAACCTGGAAGAGATCAAGCAACAATCAAGCTTGCTTTTTTGTCATTGGAAGGATGTTGGAAGTCAAAATCCGATTTTAAAAAATGACAAAAAATGATTCTGCCAGCCAATTGAAACCAAACCTTGAGATTGATGAATGCCTCATCCAAATCTCAGCCCTTTGAGTGCCATTCAACCATCGACTTCGAAACGAAACCTTCTCCCTCACAGCACATCCAAAACGCCCGGAAACGGCTGTGTTGCTGGCTCCTGCGCCACAAAGCGGTGTCGGGATCTGGAGCGGTCGTCATCCTGCCTGACTGATGAGGTCAATTGGTCGATTTGATTGGGTAAGGCTGAGAGGGAGATTAGATGGGGGAGATCAGATCCATCTCTTCGTGATGAGAACAGGACGAGTTTGGGGCTCATGGGAAGAGTTCTTCAACTGCTCTGATTTGGTTCATTTGTCCTCATCTTAGGGATCCAACTCGGAGCTCTCCGTAACGCACAGCCACAGATGTCTAGATCCGACGCTTTTCGCCGGTATAGCAAAACATTCCCAAAAGTCATATGCTCCCTGCAACAATCATGGAAGTGCAAAAAACATAAACATCTTATAGAGGAAAACCCGCTTCCTTTCGGGGCCTTTATTGGGCATTCCCAAACTACACCGGGACTAAAACAAGAAAGTGGAGCTCCGGGAGCTCTCCTTTTCTCATGGTCTTTGGGTGGTTCGTCAGACATCGCTGAGGTCCCCGGGCTCGAAGCTCCAGCAGTAGACCAAGAGCTGTCCACCCACTCTCAAAAGCCGCCTCAGCAGCCGCGAGACGCTCCGAGGCTCCGCGGAAAAGACCCAAACGGATCGCCCGCCCCCACGAGGCGATCCGGGGTGTGTTTTCTTCGTCGGGGAGGTGGCCTTGGATAAACGTTTCATGGATCCAATCGGTGTAACGGTTTTATATGATCAATCCGAATCAATCCTGATAAAACCATTTTAGTATATTTACTGCGACACTGGGATTGGCTTTCGGCCTCCCCACGGTCACCGATGCTTCCCATCCTCTCATTCCGCCCGAAAAAACGGTCACAGCCCAGGCACGCCGCTTCACGCAGCGCCTGAGGAAAGAGGCAGGCAGAGAGGGGGGCACCAAGAGATTCAGAAATCTGTCCAAGGATGCAGGCCGACATGCAGGGGGAAAGAAACACGTCCGTCCCAAAAAACATCCTTTGAGTCTCGACTTATAATGTAAGAATGTGAATGAACAGCTCCAGTGTCCATGCATTGCACCAGCAACGATAAACCACATGTCACATGTCTTCGACCTAAAGCCTTCTTGGACTTGGACCTCAATTCAGTCTCAATTACTCTCAGGGATGCTCGTCCACTTGGAATTGGACCTTTTCTGCTACAACCCCCAAGCAACCAGCCTTGGCCTTTCCATGGATGACAATTCCCACATCTGAAGGGTTCCACATCCAACACCTGGCTATGTGTTCATGGATGTGTCCCATACTTTGTATATTTTTTTTGAGGCCACTCATAAGGACTCTTGACCAACATCTACACCCCAAGGCCACCGCTGCTTTTGGGCACTCCACTGATGTTTGCCTCGTCTCCCCACCTGCACGCGCCGCCCACGGGTGGAGAGGTGGTGCAGCACCTGCGGGAGGGATCGAAAACGGAGAGGCCAAGTGGATCAAAGGCCAAGTGGATTGAGCTCAAACAAAAAATCATATTCCAACTTCAACAGAAGCCTTTACATAGACCAGAATGTGCTCAGAAGCCTTGATCCATGCCTTCCCCCCAAAACTCTTTGCCTGGCTTCTTGTCACGGGGGCCCCTGGAAGTCCGAATGGAGGCGTTGGGGAGGCGTTCGTCCGGGTCCAGGGCACCGCAATGGACAGCACGGCATCGAAGGCACCATCCCGCAGGGGCGCTGCTAAACAGTCGGCCACCTGGGAGGGTCGTTCTTTTGGCGTGATTGGCCACCCGCATGTCTTATATAACAATAACTTATTGTTATTTTCTTTTATATAACTGCTTCTACATAACTTCTGCATATCTTCTTCTTCTTCTTCTTCCTCTTGTTCTTCTTCTTGTTCTTCTTCTTCTTCTTCCTCTTGTTCTTCTTCTTATTATGTTTATTCAACCAAGCTGCTGAGTACAAATCAGTACAAATCTCGGCTTGACACAGTTGGTCACTAAGAATGGTCCACCAATCGTCCTCCAATAGCGCCACGTCCATGGTCCATGGTCCATCCGACGGCGACACCTGCCGAGGTGGGATCTGACAAGCATCTGACGAGCACCATCAGTACCAACTTACCAACTGGAAGCTGGAAAGAGAACAGAGAGACTCCCATGCTTCTGTGTTAACCTTCTGAATCAGTTCGTACAAGAAGACCTGATGTGGAAAAATCGAGGCGCTCTTTCGGTCAGGCTGTCTTTCAGGACGGTCGTTCGCGTTCGTCCGGAGTATGTGGTGTGGTGTGTTGGATTCCGGACATGAAGATATGAAAGGCGTGCCGTTTCTTGGTGAGATGTCAGGACCCCGCTACAATGGGCTGGGTTCTAGCGGTTCTAGGTCAAACAACCCATATGTCCCATATACCCTCACGACTAAGAGCTCGTTCTGGTGTCAAACCTCCGCTTTATATTTTTTTGGTGTGAATATATGAAAACGGTAGGCCCTCCAACCACATGGGTCTTGATTGATTTGTTTCCTTCCACAAGGGCCCATCAGACCCGCGCAACCTCCGTCCGAGACGAGGAGGGTGTATTCCACCGGTGGTTGAACCCTCTGCGACCGCGCAGCCATGCAGCTCGCGCCGTGCTCCTGGGGGCAAAGGAACCCGAAACCGCATGGAACAGAGAGGCATTCAATGAGTTCAATGTAACCAAACCATGGTGCCTTCTTTTGGACCCAAGTTGGGGGGAACTACAAGAGGAGGGTGTCTTCAGGAGGTGCAAGTGGGTTCACACACATCTTCCTGTTCCGCCGCTTTCCATGACTCAATCTAGCATCAAAACCCACCGGTTGTAGGGAATCCTGGCAAGTCTGATCATGCTGCTTCTTTCTACTTGTGTTTGAGTCATTCCATTTAACATCAAGTCTGAAGGATGTTGAGGCACAACACTTGGAGATTCCATCTCTAACATGACGATTCCATACAGCAAGTTTGCATGCATCGAGCATCGGGTTGAGATGTTGTCTCCTCCGGGCCTACAGAGTCGGTGCCTAGATGCGAACACAGCGAACGACCTCTGTGGTCGAAATCACGTGTACGACTGGAATTACCGGAACCTGCATGGACATATGGCTTTGAACACATGGGTTTCATGGGTCAAGTTGAAACCCACCAGCAGTTCCATGCTTCACCAGGAATCCACCGGCATTCGACAAGGAGTCCCAAGTGATCGATGTACCGTAACCTCTTTTGAGGCACACCATCTCGGACGCGGCAGGCCCGAGGAGGACCCACAGCCCGCGACGGCGGACCTTTTGTCGCTCTGAAAACTGGAGGTGAAGCAGCCAGAAAACCGAATGAAATCGCGCTGCGTTCCATGAAAATCGAGAAGACTGCGTGATTCAGGCGTGTCCAGAACTGCGATTGAGGAATGTTCGATGGAAACCCATAAGGCGCCAACAGAGGCAGTGAAACGGGTTGTCCTTGGAGCACGGGAACTGCGCCTGAAAAGTACTTTTTAAAAAAAATAACAATATATATATAAATATCACACAGTGGTCGGCAAGTCCTCTCCTTTCGTTCGACATGCCCAAACAGATCGGATCGAGTCTCCAGCTGGATGTTGTCTGGAGTCTGATGCTAAACTTTCCAGTACTGGGTTAGTCTCACATTCAACCAAACCCATCCAAACGTGCTCTCACCCTATCTTCATCGAAGTCCATAGTCCCTCTTTATGATGAGACTCACCCTGCCAGCCCCCACTCATGTCACAAGCTCATTTACAAGACATCCACAGCCAGATCCGCAGATCAGACTCGTCGGTGAGATCTGGAACATCCGGTCCATCAATCCATCGAATCCTCTCATCTATCAGATCCGGATCCTGAAATCAGGAGATCTTCTTTTCCAACTCCTCCATCTCTGGGAAGCGTTGCACTCCACTCACGCTCTCATCCTCCAAGCCAGCGACGATGGCCTTGGAGAGAGTGGAGACGGTCACCGTCTTGTCCACGAAGGGCACGCCCAAAGCGTTCAGGAGGTTGAAGACAGGGATCACAGGGAGCACATCAAACCTGAGCAAATCACCCTTGAGCAGGTTGAGTCGGTGAGTTCGATGAAGCCAACTGAACTGGTCGTTCGATCGCTGTGCAACCTACTCTGAATCAGTGAGGTCGGTGAATCAGCAACACTTAAGGTGTCTTCGGCGCGCCTCGGGGGAGAGCAAAAACTCGAACTGCCAGGGTTCACTAGGCCAAGTAATGGTATCCATCTAGGATCCCAGAGAACCAAAGAATTCAATTGAACAAAAGGATTTGAAACAAAACAAAGACCGTGTGACCGTGCACCCCTCTTTTCACAACAACAAAGACCGGGCCGCTTGGTCCAGCTCCAGATCAGCGAAGGTCGGAACATCGCGGCGCGGATGGCATCGCTGGAGCGGAGCTCGGCCTCCACGGCGCGCTTGGCGACCAAGTACTCCTGCCGGCGAGCGCACCGCCGTGCGGTGGGAAGCGCGCCGAATGTCACGTGCCGGAGAGTTTCACCCGGGGGGGGCGGTCCTTTTCGTGGCGGTTCGGGGATGGTCGGGCGGTTTGGGGATGGGCGAACTTCCGCTTTTTATATTGCGCTTGGCGGTCAACTCAAGCAGTGGTTGCTCTTCATCTTTTGTTGGTAGGAGCTCGAAATCAATGAGTGATTTGGACGATGCCGGGACCATTTGTTTGTCACAATGGAAACTTAAAAGCAAACGGTCCGCTCAGGGCTTGAATTCCAGGCCTTCAATAGCTGGGAAAGCACCTGAACCCTGCGACCTGACCATTCTTCCATTCAGAGCGCCCTTAGTGGTGCTCTCATGTTCCTTCGAACCCAGGCCCAGGTATGCAATACCTTCCACTCCACCCTTCTTCCATTCCATCCCGGTCGCCCCGGGACGCCACGTCCCTACCCGTCCTTGAGCCACTGAGGCGCCACGTTCTCCACCTGCTCCCCCAGGGTCACGTCGGGCCATCCCGCTTCGGCCGCCGAGACGAACATCATGGGCGTGGGCGGCGCGAAGGGCAGCCGCAGCTTCCCTGGGCGAAGCCGTGGTGTTTTGGGGGCTTCAGGATCGCCGCGAAGCACGACGTGGGGTCTGTTTGCGCGTTCGAGCTCATGCGGAGCCAGAGCCTCTAGATAGAAAGAAAGGAATGACCAGCAGGAACGCGACCCTTTTCGTCTGACATCCACTCCACTTCTCCACGGAACTTCTCCACCGACCGTGTGACCCGCGTGAAACGCGTTTCCAGCGCCTTTGATGGCGTTGATGACGTTGAAGGCCGTCTGCCGGGTGATCCGGTCGTAGGTGCTGGTGTCGTCCGGCGTGGACTTGGAGCCGCTCACGATGAGGTTCAGGTTCGTGAGGCCGCTGTTGGCGTCGAAGAGCAAACCTCACGAGTTTGAAGGGAGATAAATCCTCTCTCTGTGTTTTTTCCAAGAAAAGTTACACCTTTCTTCCAACTGTGGTGTGCACAACAGCCAAAAGAACATAAACACGTCTGTAAATTACTCATCAGCTCAACAAAAATGCTAACCACAGTTTCTTCAAGCTCCATGACCGCCCTCCTCCAAAGAAACGTCCCGGACCCGTACCGGCGTAGACCAAGGGACCAATGGCGTGCACCACCGCGTCCGCCTCGCCCACCAGGTTCGACACTGTGCCGGCGTCCACGGCGTTGCCCTGGACCCAATTCACCTCGATCTGTTCAATAATTTGAAACCAAATGAGTCAGAATGTATGTTCACTGCGTATTCCATCATCCCAAGGTCAATGTTCCAAACGCGTATACCATCACTGGTCTGGTCTGCGTATTCTGAAAGCACCCGCCGACCTGGTCCAGCTGCTCGTTGCCCGGCTCGGGATTCTCACCGCGTCGGCTGAGAGAGGTCACCTGCATTTGAAGGAGACGACGGCGGACCGTTTCGCCGGCCAGGGTGCCTACAGAGGTATCCTGTGACCTGAACTAGGACCCTACAGGGGTACCTATAGGATAGTCTAGAGTCTATAGGGTTCTTCAACCTCTGGTGATTGGGTCGCTGGTCACCAGCTTGGCATCGACTCGATCTTGGAGGCACCAGGGCTCTTTCCGGGCTCTTTCCCCGCCTTAAAGCCTCGCTGCACCGCCAAGCGACAGACCTCACGTCCCACAAAGCCATTGCCGCCCAACACCAGCAGCCGCCGACCGCCCTCGTTCGCCGCACTCTCCTCCTCCGCCGCACGGGCGGACCCACGTGCCGGCGCGGGGGTGCCCAGGAAGGTCGCCGCCTGCGCGACGGAGTGCCGGGGCGATGGGTTCAAGTTTACAGTCTACATGTTCCGTAGGCTTCCTGGCCCACCATTAATTTAATAGGCTTTACCGAATCAACTAAAGATTTGACATTACAAAAACCAGGTCAACCAACCATTGTTTTAATGGTCTTGGAAGTCTAGGGTGTTAACACAGGTTAGGGCTGCCTTGCAATCATCCCGGATCTCGGAGTTGTTTATCTCAACCTTCTCCTTCCCTTGCCGTCCTACTTCGCCACCCCAAAAAGAAGGAACTGGACAACTCCACCCAGAAAACAGAACTGCAGTAACCTCCCAGAACCCGGGTCGACCTCAGTACCTTCCCTGAGACCCTCAGGTCGGTTGCGCGCATCTCAGAGTGACCTGGCACCGTCTCTGGGTGCTTCGAAGAACGCGGAGGTGCTTAGCTAGTGATCCAGGGGAGGAAACCCTCCCGTCACATAGAACCTCTCAGTGCGCACCTCTCGCCCACATGCCCAAAGGCCCAGCACCACCAGAAGCTTCACACCAAAGGCACTTCGAAAAGGGCGCGTCATCACCGGCCCAAAGCAATCTCCGAACGGTCAAATGAAAGCAACTTCGATCTCAGGAACAGTGACTGAAGTTGCTTGATGCTGCATGACTCTACAATCATCCATTGTGTGCCACTCTTTTGTAACACCATGCTGCATGATTCATGATTCACCATGAAGGATATTCACACTTGCCTGCGCTTCTATGTGAACGTAGCAACTTAAACTTATAAGTGGTTTGCGTTGAACAGAAAGGTGCGGAGGTCCACGGTCCGCAGCTCCAGTCTACAAAGGATGCCAGTGTCTCCAACCAAGCAAGCACACAGTGTCACAGTATGTCACTGTGTTGTTTCTCTTCAAACTGGTCAAGCGCGCATGGTCTGACCAGCACGGTCTTTTGAATCTTGGACTGGGGGGATGAGAGAACTGTTCTCCTGAAGGGACCAATTTCGATCAAGCACACCTGAAAATTGAGGGACGGTGGACCAAGACCTTCATCCTCGTGCTCCGCACCGTCACCGAGCTCTTTTTTTCGGATCTCAGAAGCGGGACAAGACCTCCTTGGTGCGTGCCCAGACAGCGTCTTTGGCTTCAGCCTGAAGTGCGGTGAACTTCTGAGTCTTTTCCCCGAACTCATTCACAATGTAGCAGCCACCCTCGGAGAACCTCAGATCAAACATGGTCTCCGACCTGTAAAACCGCCTCATTTCGTCACCTGGGTTCGTCGCGCACGGGGACCATGTTTCTTTTGGGGGGGGTGGTGTTCCCTCTGCGCGGAGCTCTCGTCGCATCCACAGGCCACTTCGGAGGCCCA